GATTCAATATGGTTCCAAAGAAGAATGCTTTAAGCTTAAACGGGGTTGATACGCCAGGGTCATACACCGGTGTTTCGGAGGTTCGTCCTCCTCGTCAGTGACCCCCTGCCCCACATTCAGCCCTGCATTGAAGCAAGGAGGGAGGCGTATGTGGTGATGGCACAGTGTACAATGACACTGGTCCATCACCACCTCTCAGTCGATAGATTTTTGCTGTTAGATCAAAACTAATTCGAAAGATTCTTTTTTTTTCTTTTTTGGAATTATATTGAATGTTTTTTTGGGGTCTCAAAAAACAGTCGATCTTTTTGAAATAGTTTTAATCTAACAGCAAAAATCTATCGACTGAGAGGTGGTGATGGACCAATGTCATTGTACACTGTGCATCACCACATGCGCCTCCCTCCTTGCTTCAATGCAGGCTGAATGTGGGGCAGGGGGTCACTGAGAGGAGGACGAACCTCCGCAACACCGGTGTGTGACCCTCGCGTATCACGATATATATTTATTACATATATCGATGCCAAAAAAGTTTTGTCAGTCTTGCATTTTGCTGTTGTACAGCACTGATAGTATCTTCTTTTTCCTTTTACTAATTCTGACAATTTTATTGAACTTTGTTGATCTCTGATTTAGAATGACTTTAGTTATCTGTCTATCCTCAGCTGAGCTGAAGTTATGGATCTTTAAAAAATGTAACGCAGTAGTTAAGTCTCACAAGACCGGAATGAAAATGGCCGGAGTTGTTGAAATAGATTGGAGGGATTGAGTACAATCCTCAAAATCGTCCAACCACCACGTTTCCTCCGGAAAACATTGAGAAGTTCCGTTGCCAGTTTCTGACGAAATTCGAAGCGTTTGATGCGCAACATGACAAAGAAACTCGAAATCAGCGAGTATGATCCATGAAACAATATTTACAAATAAGCTGATACTGCGCAGCTGTGAAATCGCTCGAGTTCACTTTCAAAAAAAAAAAAAAAAAAAGAAGAACGGCTCCCAAGGCTCGCCAAATGATTCATTTGAAGCTGCTGTTCGTTTTTTGAAAAGCTTTTACGGATGAGAAGAAATTCATAGTCGAACCACTTTACAATCGTCAGAACTGACATCACCGGCAAATCAGGCTTATTCTTAGAAGTCTGATATAGATATTGTAAATCTTACAATAATTTGAAAGCAAATTATGGTTACGACATCAAAGGTTAAAATATTTGAGAAGACATACGTGCCCACTCAAAATTTCTCGTTTCATCATAAGTGATTGAGTGTCATTTGGAGACCATCTTGGTTTTCGGAACGGACCCTTGATGGTTCAACCACGCCACTTCAACACATCAACAACAAAAGTATTTAAACTGAATACAAAGATTGTTCGTTCATTACCGCTATCCGACGGAGCACACAAATTACTCGTTCCACAGCGGATAGGAAAAAACAATCAAATGACTGCATTATACTTTTTATCCGAAGAGAATTCTAAACAGCTAACATATAGAAAATGAAAAGGTCGGAGAACTTCAATCAAAATACTAGTGACGCTAAATGAAGACAAATGAAACCCTGAGAGATTTATGGGAAAATTCCCAATCTTGACAGATTAGTTGAAAAGAGTTAACTCTAGTTCAACCCTTGAAGGATAGAGAAGCGGAGAGTGAAGCAGCCTATCAGAAAACGAGATAACTGATGGAGGCGGCTCCACAACGCTTTTCTAAGAAGTCACATAGGCACGGATGGACAGGTCTACTATTTCCAATATCCACAAGGAAATCGTATCGACCAGCATTCTACGATACTATAGAAGAGACGAAGTCGTCAAGCAGCAGCCGAAATAGTGCGAGAAAAATGCTCCACCATTTTCATGGAAGTTGAATGTGAAAATACCAACTGAATTCAGGTACTAGTGGTGGGGATTAACGACACATAATATGATGACTGGTCATGTAAAAATGAAAAAACATGCGTTGTTTCAGTCGCTCGAACTTACATATGAATTTTGCTAAAGTAGTGTTTGAACAATAAATTAGATTGCAACAAAGTTTTCGAAAGACTGAAAAGCTGAATTCTTGAAATCCTCATAGCAAGCGCAGTAGATGTTGGCACAGATAATACTAGAGCTTTCTCGCAAAAAAAAAAACGTTCAAAGAAAGTCGTTTTTCAGTTGTGAAAAAGCAGAACACAGCCTTGGTAAATCTTGACGAATTCTTCCATTCAAGCTAAACACATGGAGTCTCCGTGAATGACGACCAGCGGCTCTGAAGCTTATGGTGACACCCATTTTCCACTTATTATGCGCGTAGTGCTCTCTAGAAATTGAATAACATTAATAATTAGAGAACTTGAGAGCTCGGGAACATGGCGAAATTAAGCCTCATCGCCCTCTTAAATAGAATTATTTATCATATTTATCACCAAGTCGCGTAGGTTGTTGTGACTTAAGCACGCGCTAATAACTTCCTCTTCCTATACGTACCGCAAGCGATAAGGTGTACAAAAAACACGGGCATACATAGAACAAAAGAACTACAGAAACAATTCTGAGGAAAACGCGTAGGAAAGCCGTTTTTAGAACGAAAATCTCAATAAAAGGGAGAGGAACCGGCTTAAATTCTGCTTCAGCAGCCGGTGTAACCTCCAAATATGTCACTAAGCAGAGAGAAGAATGAGGCTCCTTTTAATTCCCAAATAAAAAGAATTCAGCCTTCATCGTGAAGAGGAGAAGTACGACTAGCGGGACTGAACATGTCATCAATAGCGTAACCCTAACTACGCAAGTAGGAAATTTGGGCATTTCACTCTACGTCGGAGAACCTAATGTAGAGCCGTACTCCAAATGTAGACAAAAGCGAAAGCGGTGTCATGATGCATCTTACTGGTGCCATCTATTCACAATTATCAAAGAATAAGCTCAAGCAAGGTGCGAAATTTGCAGTTGACAACGATATAGACGATCTATGACTACGATTTAAACGAAAAATTCAGATTTAGATATGATACTGTTCGTGATCAAGTTTACCACTTGAAAAACGAGTGATAAATGACTCAAATGGTACACGTGACAGAGGTAGTACAGGCTACAGCATAACGCTATTGCTTTTAACAATTCTCAAGACCGACTGTCTATTAACCTCGGCATGCTTTAATATAATTACTTATTTTCTTCTTTAAGCAAAACACGAGGTGTTACGATAAACTTTATTCGACAGCTGACGTTTCGGTGGTTCGCCTTCTTCAGAGCCTGGAAAGGTCAAATTGTCCGCAGTCCAATCAGTCAAACATATTGCTTTTTACTGTATCGTTTTCTTCGTCAATAATGCATTCTGTAAAACATCAGTTTTGCGACGTTGTGGTATTTCTGCTATCCAATTAACAGACGGCTTTTAACAACAACAACAATAACTTCATAAGACTTTACCAAATAACTTCTATTCGCGAGGAAACAAGACAATATAGAAAGCTTCTTCCTTTAAACGGTTGAGGATCAGGGACCCAGGAGGTATGTCCGGGCCCAAACCACTGGCCTCGCCTCCACCAATCACGTCCGTTCTCTGATAGATGATTGTGAAAGTGATTGGGCTGATAGTGGTATGAGTGTAGTGATTGGGGTGAGTGATAGTGATAGTGATCATAGTGATGGCGGTAGTGTAGTGTTGATAGTGATAGTGATGGTACTGATAGGGATAATAGTGATCATAGTGATAGTGATGATACTATGTCATATGGTGATGATTGTGGTAGTGATCATAGTGGCAGTGATGATAGTGATAGTGGTGATAGTGATAGGATATAGTGATAGTGATAATGATAGACATGATGATAGTGAAGGTGGCAGTGATAATGATAGTCATCATTATCGTTGTCGATAACAGTTGTAAAGATGATAGTGATCCTGATAAAGACAATGATAATAATAATAACAATGTTATGACAATGACAATGGCAATGATAGTGACAGTGATAATGATGACGATTGTTGTCACAATAACTGTTACTATCGCTATCACCATCACTATCATTATATTATCACTATCACTAGTACCGCCACTATCATTATCATCACTACCACTATGATCATTATCACTACCATCACTATCAGTATCATCACTATCACTGTGATCACTATCAGTATCATCACTACCACTATCATTTCACTACCGCACTATCGCTATCTCACTATCCTATCATCGCTATCACTACCGCCATCATTATGATCACTATTACTTCTTCGCAATCACTACCGTCACACCACTAGCATCCCAATCGCTTTCACGATCATCTATCAAAGCGCGGAAGTGATTTGTTGGGGCGGGGTCAGTGGGGTGGAGCCAGACTCGAATTCTGGTTCCTGGTTCTCATTCGGCTAAACAACTCAACAATAATTTTCTATAAAGTGCGAATGGAAAGTGATGTGATGTCACATCAAACTAGAGGTACTAGACCTAAGTTTTAGCCTGCCGATGTATCAAAAAGACTGAAGAGGATGAGACTTGTGGCCGGAACGGTCGACAAATGTTGCGTCGCATATTTCGGTTGAACATGATAATGATTACTCTAAAATTGATTAGTTTGATTAATTCAAGGCAATTAAAAGATAGGATGTTGCATAACTAAAGAAATTTACCGATTACAACCCTCACCCGAGTCTGTATATGACAGTGACAAATCCTGACTGTGTATGAGTATTCTTCATAGGTTATTTCAGCTCAAAATGAGCGGAAAAAATGCTTTGCAAAAGTGGGCACGGGTGGTCATTTCTGTTCAAATGAGGAAGCGAACGATGGTAATGCATTGAAATGGATCTCCGTGCTGTTTAGAGCTATCTGGGCGCATTGATACCAGAACATCTCTCCACTGTTGTAGGTTTGAAGGGTGCATTTGGAGGCTTTCACCACTGGCGACGTTTACCCAAGCTAACAATTTCTACGCAGCCCTGCTTTTTTTGTTGTGATTATCTTCTATTTATTACACTGAGATGTTGAAGAATGAAGTGGTCAGGCAAATGTGCCTCAGTGGTCGTAGTGGTAGAGCACGCGTCCCCGGATAGGATGAAACGTGGGTTCGAATTCCGCCTGAGGCCGCGTTTTTGCTCACCACTCAATTCTTTTAGGTATCTTCTATTTATTGATAATTTTTCGCTCACACTATGAATGTTGAATTTTCGTTTACTAAACTCTACCATATTTTTGCAAATTTCTCTTGTTTTTTCACGTTCTCTACTGTTTTGCAGTTGAATTACCACACGTCTCCAGATCTCAGTAAAATTCAAAGTTGATAAGTAATGACTTATCAATTCAGAATACATACATCGAAGCTACAATATTTGAAAAAACACAAGCTTGTGGAAAAGATTGTTCATTATTTGCGGCGATAAGTTATTGATAAATGACGCACCCTGCTCCAGCGTGATTCACTCCCCATATGAGAGTCGTTGAACAAAATCGGGCAAATCTCGTTGTGAGCAGAGGTGCAATAGCATGGAAGCAGATTATAGTTGATATGAAGAGTAACGTGGTGCATACTGTCTAAAAAAATAAATTGTTCAATAGTCAATCGGAATTCATTTAACTGACCGCCTCTTGCGGTGGCATGATCTTTCAATAAACCCAAAAATGTAGAGTGGCGTGCAAAAATATTCGCTTCAGCCCGAATGACGGATGATCCTGGCTGACGCAAATGTTTCTGCGCACCAAACCTACATTATCAGATTAATAAATTTTTCAGTTTTCAAGGTCGACCATTCTGAGGTAAGATTCATCAACCGGGTAATACGTACATAATAAGTCCATGCCGTAAAGTCCTGAAATTGATGAAATGCTCTAATTTTAGGATTAGAAAAGAGAATAAATGAATTTTGAGTGGATAAGAATTTTTTCCGTAACTTTCCTGTGGATAAGAATTGATAAGAAGTTTCTCAGTGTGAAAACTTCAATGTTATTCTACCCGCACTTTTTTGCAGTCCACTTATGTATTGATCATTCTATTATACGCACTGTAAATATATTTATCTTGTTGAGCTTGTCATTAATGATCATTTTTTGTGCCAAAATCGTTTGCAGAAACGTTCAGCTACTCAACTTAGAAACCATGAACTGCGACAACCTCTAGAAGTCCTCATCAAGTGGTGAGAATTAGGAAAAGCGGTCAATCAAAATACTAATCAACATACTTGCTTATGTTAGAGCACTCAGCATCAGCTTTCTTGTAATAGATGAAGATTATGAATAGTGAAACCAGACTGTCATAGTTTGACGTTATTTGATAAACAAAGAAGTGTTAGTTTGAAAAGAGGCGTTGCCTTCGTAAACGGGTATCAGGGTCCTTCACAGAGGACTAATGCGACTATGCACTTGATTGAAAAAACTGGCAGATGTCAGGAATACTAATCCCACATTTTACTATCTCACATTGACGTATACTATTTCTATATATACATTGCTCATGTGAGTGGCTAAATGTGTCTTCGGCGTCATTTCAGTCAAAATCTTTTCTAAGTACATGGGAGATGACTAAAGCGCAGTCCTAAAAAATAGTCCCGTAACAACTTTGCATGACTAGAACAATTTACGCACAAAACACGACAATACTCGACAAATGGCCTGCAAAAACTTTCCTCTTTCGCAGCGTTAATAAAATAGGTATTTCTCCTCATTGTATTGTCGTCTTGATTCTCGATTTCTCGATGACCGGGTAGACTGCACTACTCAGCTCTAGTGAGGGAGAAAGGAGGTAAAAAGGGTGTTATTGTGGAACACTGATCTCTTTCTTGCTTACCCAAGTCATTCAATAACTTTGCATGGAAGGAGTAAATGAACATTAGGCTTGGAACATAGAGCTAATATCAATACACATGTCGTCATTGGCTCAACGTTGCGGTATGTAATGATTTGACTCTGCCCTTGCATTCATTGATGTCATTGTACTAAACTTGCCCATAACAGAAAAAAACATTCAATTGGTTACATACATCAGAGAGCTCATGCAAGCTCCTGCGCACATAAATATATCACCTGTATCACCTTGTCCCGTTGATCGTCGAGTGACTCGAGCGGGTACCACGACTCTTCCATTCTTCCCTACCGCGTGCAAGAGTAGCCTAGTGGGTCCTCCTCGCTCTAGGGATTCCCTGAGCATCATATCTTTCTTCCATCGCTTTCGTGAAGAAATCGGACCAACGAGTCAGTGGTCCTCCTTTAGAGCGCCTGACGTCCCGAGGAATCCAGGCGGTAACGGCTCTCGTCCATCGATTGTCGTTGAAACGCATCACTCATCCGGCCCACCTATCTTCATGTCCAAGCGAGTATAACGGCGTCTCTGATTTTCGATCGTTGACGTAGGTGGAACTTCGTATCCTTTCTCTCATTTGCGAGATACGGCATATTCCTAGCATCGATCTTTAGACTGGGCGTTCGATAACGCCAAGTGATCTTTCATTCTGCTTACGTAGCAACCAGGTTTCTGCTGCGTAAGTTAAGGCACGGATAATTGTCGAGTCGAAAAGGTAAGCACGGAGTCGGATGTTCTTTGTTCTCTTCACTACATCTTCAATGCTCTTAAACGTTCCCCAAGCCGCTCGTTTCCTCCTGCTCAACTCTGGAGCTAGGTCGTCCATCTTGTTGATTTCACGACCTAGATAGACGTAAGTGGGTCATTCGGAGATTGTCGTTCCGCTCAGCGTGAATGGGGCATTCTAAACCCATCCGTTCCTCATGAACATCGTTTTCGTTAGATTTAGTTGAAGACCAATCTTTCCACAGGCGTTATCGAAATCGGTCAACATTCGTTCCGCTTGGCTAATGTTTGGTGTTATGAGAACGATATTGTCAGCAAAGCGAAGATGGCTTAATTGTCGACCGTCAATTTTCATTCCCATATCGTCCCATATTAATGTTCGCATAACTTTTCATAGGGTGGCAGTGAATGTTATGGCGAAATTGTATCGCCTTGTCGAAATCTTCATAAAGCTCAGGAAAGGTCATTGTGTGCCGAGTAGGGACGCCCTGGTTATCCAGAGCCTCTATAACCCTCTTCTGTTCCCACTGAATCAAGGGCTTTCTCCAGATCGATGATAGTGAGACAAAGTGGTTGTTTGTACTCTCGTGGAACTTTACTGAGTCTTGTAAACGTTGGATGCGGTCTATGGTACTAATCCATCTCGGAACCCTGATTGCTCTCATGGCTGTTTTTCGTCCAGTGTTCTGTCAATCCTATTTAGGATACTCGAGTAAAGAGTTTATAGACAACGGACAACAAGCAGATTGGGCGATAATTGCCTATGTCGTGTAGATCTCCTTTTTTAACTGCAACACAGTCTTGCTGCTTTGCATTGAATGGGAACCTTGCATTCCGACATGTAGCGAGTGAAGAGCAGAGCTATGGTGTTTATGAGAACTGGCGGCAGGTTCTTCAGCTGCTCTGGTCTAATCCTATCTGTACCGGGTGTTGTTCCGTTCTTCACCGGCGATATAGCATGACGGATTTCGGAAGGGAGGACCGACGCAACGACCTGTTCAGCCTCTTTCAATTTATATGAATGCAGGGGGACATGGCTAGCGATGAGATCCGAATAGTACTGGTGGATGATTTTCTCCATAGCCCTTCTGGAAGTTGTAAGTGTCCCGTCAGGGTATCGGAGTGCAATCATCTTGGTCTTATAGTTGGCGAAGCCTCGCTGGGCTTTGCGAATGCTCTTCCCAGCTTCTGCAGCTTCTGCCAAGACTGCTGCTCGTCTCTATTCAAGTCTTTTTAATCGCTTCTCTGCAACGTTTCGCAAGATCGGACGTAAGGTTTCGGTTGCCTGCAGTTCCTGCGATTCAATATTGACGTCATCAGCTCGAGTGACTGCGGAGACAAGCGTCTCTTCGCGACCTTAGAACTCTCGGTTTCATAGCGCTAACGTGAAGATATTTAACGAGTTGATCGTATTCCTTGTCGATGTTGTCCACGACGGTATCTTCCCAAGAGCCGACTAATGATTTGATACATCCCAGTTTATGGTAGTTCTGAGACTTCGTTGTTTGAATTTGGCGGCTTTCTCTCCTCTCCACGAAAAACGGAACGTTGCGCGAAGGAGGCAATGGTCTGATCCAGTGTAGAACTTGGGAACAATAGCGACATCGGTTAGGCAAAACCTTTCGATTTACTAAGATGTGGTCTATTTCGCTGTGGTACTCTCCATTGGGAGACCCCTCGTCCATCGCTGAAAGTGAGGCTTTTGGAATTGCGAGTTACCATAGATGGTCTGTGTCGTCATGATAAACTCAGATAGCCTCTCACCCTGTTCATTCCATTCTAGTCCGTGGGTCCCTATGTGACCTTCTTCAGACGTTCTTCTAGGTCCAATTTTTGCATTGAAATCTCCGACAATGACCTCGAAGAATGTATGATCTTCTCTGAAGAATTTTTCGAGGTCCATATAGGACGCTTCGACTTCGTCTCCAGTCATAGCTTGATGTTGATGCGTAAGCAACGAAGATGGTCAAAGCCGGCATAGAACCACATCGTTTCAACCGTAATCCTCCGATACGGGTTGTTAGCAGTTTAAACGAATCGATGTTCACAGTCAAATTCGATTTGACGAAGACGCCAACGCCGCCGACACCTGTGCTATCGCATGTTCCAAGGAGCAGTTTCTTCTCCTGGTGTCATAAACAGCGTGAAAAGAATGCCGCCTTCTCGTCTCAGCCAGGCCAATGAAGTCGTACCTTATCCTTCTTGCTTTAATCAGTAGGCCTTCTACAGCGGATTCGTGAGCTAGGGTTCCTGCATTGTAGGTACAGGTCTTCATTTTGGACCGTTGCAATCTTGTCAGCCTAGTTTGGCCCTGAGATTTTAGCAGCCTCTCCGTACTACTCTTACCTGGCGCTGCCGTACCAGGGGCTTCTTCGGGTCAGAGGAATGAGGCCCATAATTGTTACTGTTTTTTGGCACTTTGATACCCAACGTATATCTTGTCAGGCTTTAAACGTGGGGGCTGGGTACTCACGAGTAGCTTGCCAGTCTCTATCGGAGGAGCGGGAGGAGCTTATTTGTTGGAGGCGACTCCTAACCGCCTCCCATGTACTTCCCAGCCGCTTGATC